GAAAAGGAGGAACGAGAAATTATCGCCTTGGTATATTGAACATGGGGGCAAGCTGTTAGAAGGGCTTATTGCTTCCTCTAATGGTAAGTATAATATTCCTTATCGAGTCTTCACCGTTGAAGAACTTAATAAAGCAACAAACGTCGATTTCCCTAGTCTAAGTGATAATGATTCCAGACTGGTTATGCGTGACGTAACGGGCTATTACATCAGCGGCAGTTTTCAGCAACGTTCTATTCTGGTGAAGAAGTTCACTAAATTTAAAGACAATGGAGAGTCGTCCTATGCTGTCAACGACATAGTAGTCACGGTGCTGATGAACAACCACAAAAATGTTTTGAAGATCTTGGGTTGCTGCTTAGATTTGGAAATTCCTGCTATTATCTATGAAATCGAGAACAATTATGAACTTCTGTATGACATTCTTATTAGAAGGACGAAAGATGGGAACTTCTGGAATAATATTGGTAGATCACTCTCTTGGAGTAATCGACTGAAAATTGCAAGAGACGTTGCAAATGCTCTTGTTTATCTTCATACTGCATTTCTCACACCTATCATCCATAGAGGTATGACCGCAAGAAGAATTGTCATAGACAACAATGGTGTTGCTAAGCTTGTCGATTTCTCAGTAAGCGTAACATTGCCTCCCGGAGAATCACAGGTGGAAGTAAAACTTCCTAGTAAGCTTCGTTATTATGAACCTGACTACGTTGCAACAGGCATTATCACAGAAAAGACTGATGTCTTCTCGATGGGAATTATTCTCCTTCAACTCTTAACTGCTCTTGACTTTTGGTTTCAACATACTGAAGGACCTGAAAATATAGTGGAGTATATACAAAACCACGTTGACAAGAATGAGTTGAGTAAAATTTTGGATCCAATAATTTTAGAGGAGAGCGGCGAAATAGAGCATCAATTGCAGGCTTTATTGAGACTTGCTTTGAGATGTACTGCTGAAAGAGGAGCAGATAGGCCAGACATAATCGATGTGGCAAAAGAACTCGTAAGGATTCAGAGGTCTGTTCATCCAATTTAGCCCACTCAAAGGAGCAGCAGATAAGTCACATTGTCAAAGATATTGTGTTGTTGGGTAAAACACTTTCTAGATTGTGTGTTAAGTTGTTATTTTGTTGGGTAAAGCACTCCATGAAACTTAATGATTTTGTTTGCTGATGTTTTCCATTATGGAAGTGTCGTCTATAACAATGGTTTATGATAATATATATATATATATATTTTTATAATAATGCTTATATTTTGGATATATACAAGAGGGTATGATTTTTTTTCGAAGAACAGACATTTCATTAAGTCAAGAGAGCAATAAACGGATACAAGGAGGAGGTCCCTCCAACACTATTCTCTCCACAGAGAGTTTAAGTGCTACAATTGCTAACGAATGAGCGACAAAAATAACCAATCAAGGTACATGATTGACAGACCAAGAATGACAAAATTAAGCAAGCTCTTTGTGTCCTCGATCATACGGCCAGGGTAGTTTCACATACTGGCTGGGAATTCATTTCTCGAAAGGCAAGAGCATTCTGCATAGCTGCTTTAGAGATAGTTCAGGTCCCTCAAAATTGTTCTCGAAAACAAAAGAATTCCGCCTCTTCCAGACAAGATAGATTGTGCATGTGAAGAACTCCATTTCCTCACCAGGCATCACATTAAACAAAAAGCTTACCAGGTCAAAGAATTGCGTCGGCACAAAGGACATTTTCTGAAGCCTCCGAGGTCCTAAACTCCAAACATCCTGTGCCGAAAGATACTACCACAACGCATGAAGTGCAGATTCTTCTTCACATTCACAAATCGGGCAAAAGGGGGACTCCCTAATCTTCCTTCGGAATAGATTTAGATTTGTAGGTAAAGAGGCATGTGAAGCTCTCCACAGAAGCATTTTACTGGCGTTTGGGGCGTTTAGGTTCCAAATTTTCCTCCAAACCTCCTTTTGGGAGTCACTAGTAGAGCATTGGCCCAATTCATCCTGCTGTATCTGATTTATGACATAATACGCGCTTTTGACAGTGAATATACCGTCCTTCGTGCCCCTCCAAATGAGTTTGTCCGGAGAACC